ATGGAATACTACATGGCAATGAGAAAGAATGAAATCTGGCCATGTGTAGCAACATGGATGGACCTTGAGGGTGTTATGCTGAGCGAAATAAGTCAGACAGAGAAGGACAGCTACCATATGTTTGCACATATAGGAGGATTAGGAGGAACTTAATGGAGGTCCGTGGGGGAGAAGAAGGGGAAAAATAGTTGGGGAGAGGGATGGAGGCAAACCATGAGAGACTCTTGACTGTTGAGAACAAACTGAGGACTGATGAGTATGGGGGGGGAGAGGATGGGGGGTGATGGGCATGGAGGAGGGCACTTGTGGGGATGAGCACTGGGTGTTATATGGAAGCCAACTTGATAATAAACTATTTTTTTAAAAAAAGAAAAAAAAAGTCTTCCTAAGACGAAATGGCTCTATGGCCAAAATTATGCACAGATCAAAGATGTTGGCCCTTGAACTCGCTGTGAATATAGCCAGTTTGATGATAGTTAAGAGTAAGAATGGGAGCCAGCTATCAGATCCTTGGGTGCCATGCTCAGCCTCCACAGATCACTACTCCTTCAAACATGTGCTAAAGCCCCCAAAACTGGCCAATCATGTTTTCAGAATCAGTTTTCAGAACTGGCCAATCATGTTCCAGACTTGGGCACAAGTCTTTGAGAACCAGTATCCATCTGGTGTGACCCTTACTTAGGTAGATCCTACAAAGCAAAATTCTTAAGAAGTTAGGGATATGAAAACTGTGGTTTTTAAGTAACATACAATTAGTTAGGAGTTTTACATTTTTCAGTCTGTTAGCAGCATTACTAATCATGTTAGCATTACTACCTCTGGAAATTATAATCCAAGATTGATGTATAGCTTTTTTATGATGATGATAATGATAGTAATAATATTATAACTTATAATATGTTTTGAATAATTACTATTTGCAAGCTCTGTTAATTCCTTTGTACTGTTTTATTCTTTACAACAAACCTATAAGCGAGGTATTACCCTTCCCACCTAACTGATGAGGAAATGGAGCCTTTGTGCTTCTAATCACTACCTCTTAATGTCTCTAATAAAAGTAGTTCTTCCTTAGGGACGAAATTGGTTGGAATCTACTGTTTTCCCTAGTCCTAGAAGAGGAAGTTCAGTGTCTTTGTCATCTTTATGCTCACTTCAAAGCTTTCATCTCCAGACAACCTGAAATTGTGTGCCAGGATCTGTGTTAGATTAGAACAAGGTATCTCTGTTTTATCTTAACAGTTGAAGAAATTGAAGCTCAGAGTAAATGTGTAACTTGCCTAAAGTGATAATCACAGTTTTTCAGCCAGAGCCAGGTTTAACTTAGGATTCTACTGTTCACTAGTGTTGCTACCTTCGCTCAACTTTTAAACCCCTCTGAGCTTCTGCATTTAAAAATGCTGATAAAAATTCCTATATAATAGGCTCCTAATTGTCAGGATCTCACTGTGAATATTTAAACAAGAGCCCATGTCAGTGCATTGTGACTTTGATTTGTGAGTCTCACACAAGAGAAAAGATGGTGCCCACTTCTCTCCAGGCATGCACAGACATCACCTGGGATGTGCTTACCTTGCTATCTAAGGAGGGAATGTTCCATGAAGCCTATCTCATCATAAAAGAACTCTTGGCCCCAGTTTCCTCCTGGAAATGAATCAGAAATTTAATCTTGCCAAGGTGACAGTAACTGCAAGATATGACCATTAGTTGTGTAGATTTATATGTCTTTTTCTTAATGCACCATAATTACACATTTTTAAATTGGCAGGGTAATGAGTTTCCTCAGGAATTAATACCACTAATAACATATAATAATATATAAATAAGTGAGTATGAATAAAGCAAAATAGGCCACACATAGACCAATGATGAGACTATCTCATGAAGCAAGGATTATGATTTAATCTAATTCTATGCAGCTACAGTCCATCAAAAATAAAGCAAAACAAGAAACTTTACCACTTTTAAAAAACTTTAGTGTCTCCCCATTGCATTAGGCCTCTCGTGGGCTTTAAGGTGTGATGTCTAGATGTTTCCTATTTCTTTATTTCTTTAACATAATGGAAGGAAGGGAAGGAGGAAGGGTGGAAAGGAAGAAGGAAAGAAAAACAAAAAAGCAAATGGCTGTAGGACTACGTGTATTCTTAAGTTCAGTGAAGCTCATCAGATAGCAACAGGTCAAACAAGTTTTCTTTTCTTCATAATCCTTCATAAGAAAACAAAATAACAAAAAGTTGATTTGAATGCTCTCCATTTGTTCCAATTAAGTAGAAGATGAATAAATCAGTGAGACAGAATAGAGCATACAGATGATTGGCAAGTATTTGGTTACTGTCTTTGGGGGAAAAAGGATATATATAAAAGAAGAATATATATATATACACAAAAATATATATAATTTATATGTAAGTATATAAATATAAAAAGAGGAACATATATATAGCCCTCTTGAAGGATGAAATGTGAAACAACATATAGACAAAATAAGACTTCAGAGAATTTTAAAGAATTCCTCAGTGTAAGAAAAAATCTCAATTGCATGCTTTTACCTTTGGATTTTGAAATGTTAAGACCTTTGCTCTTTTTCTTGGAAAGAAAGAAAATGTTTGTAGGAGTTGAAAAGTCAGAAGTCATTTTTTTGTGCCTTCAAGGCCTGGGATCAAAAGCCCTAGGCTGGGGAGATTAAGAATAAACAAAAGTAGAAGCAGAAGGAGATGTCCAGTAGAATTCTGAACAGACCCTCTTGCTTTTTGAACATTCCTTCTGACATTAATTCATTTCTAGCTGATTACTCTACCGTCTCCTTGATTCTCTCCCTTGGTATATTTTTGGCTCACCTCCTTGGTTACTTAGACTCCCCTTGCTTGCTCCCTCTTATTCTTTTTTCTTTTCAATAATTCTGTCTGTTGGGGCCCAACTTGCCTTTGATCCTTGGCTCCAGCTTCTGGATTTGCTCTGCATCTGTGTTCAACCAGACTCACCTGGGCTCCTTTTGGTTTACTGATTCCTGTTTTAGGGAAAACCCTTGCTAAATGTTTGCATGCATAGCTATCCCTCCTGCCTGCCTCCTGCCTGGTTCCTCCTCAATACCTCCAGCCAGTCTTAGGGTATGGGCCAGTATATGCATATATATAAATATATAAATATGTATATCTCAAACTTAATAATCAATAGTTTCCATTGAGAGATTGGGATTGAACTTAACATATGAAATCATCCTAGTTTCTAAAAAACATTTTCTAACAAAAGCATGGTCCACATTGACTAAATTCTATATAGTATGGCTTACAATAAGTGAATGAATAAAACACTGCTTAATTTGGCCAAGATCTTCTTATCTATGTGCTTCTATTTTAGAATTTAAAAAAAAGATTCAGAGGGTAATAATTTTTATCCTACACTTCAAGACAAATGGTAGAATGTCATAATTAAGTGAATAAGCATTATAGAAATGCCCAAAATTAGTGATTGAAATTATATCCTAATATTTCAGCTTTATCTATAGCCCAAGCCTTCATGCCTATTTCAAATTTAAATTGAAAGGACTCTGACTTATAATTCTCAGCATATTTAAGATCTTTCTTAAACAATTTGTTTAGTTTTATTTTTATTTAAAAAAATTTTTAAAACATTTTTATTCATTTTTGGGAGAAGGACAGAGACAGAACACTAGCAGGGTAAGGGCAGAGAGAGAGAGGGAGACACAGAATCCGAAGCAGGCTTCAGGCTCTGAGTTGGCAACACAGAGCCCGATGTGGGGCTCGAACCCACAAACCATGAGATCATGACCTGAGCTGAAGTCAGACACTTAACCAACTGAGCCACCCAGGTGCCCCTGTTTAGCTTTATTATTATTATTATTATTATTATTATCAGTCAATTCTTTTCCAGAATTAGTATTTTCATTTCATGTTCGTTTATAACATATATAAGTAAAATTCACATATAAGCAAATTTCACTTATATGTTCCTTATGTTATAAACATTATCACCAGTCACGGGAGACATGGCGGAGCACCCCAGCCTTTATTGCAAGGCATCGTATCATAACTATTGAGACATACTTTAACTCCTTTAAATGGATAGTTGGTTTAGTATGTATTTTGTGTCATGCTATGTTATTTATTGTTGCATAAATAACATATTATAATGCTATCAGTAATTCTTCATCTCATGCTACTTCTGCTACCAACTAATTTTTAAAATAAATATTTATTGTATTCACTTTAAAAAAATAAAAACATAACCGTAACATAAATAATTCAAAAATTGCAACATACACCCTTCACTGTCAGTTTTCAGAAATTTTACTATTCATGGATTTATTCAGCCACTTATGCACTAAACATTTACTGAAAGTCTTCTATCTGCACTACTACATAAGGTGCTGAATATATGGGTCAATAAAATATAATTATTCCCTCAGTGATCTTATTGTTTATAAGGAGACTCAAGAAATCATATAAATAGTTGTAACATACTATGATATACGTTAAAATAGTTATTTATAAATTGCAGATACAAGAGGCTTCTTTCTGTCTATAGGACTTATGGAAAACTACAGAAAAGAGATAAAATTTGGGCTGGCTTTGAAGAATGAGCAGGAATGTTGCAGAGGTAAGGAATATAGTTGTATCCTAGCAAGGAGCATCTATCTACGTGGAACCTGGAATCTCATGAGGAGAAGAAACAAGGCATGTGGCCTGGGGCATGAGGGTAACATCAACCAGTACAGTGTGGCAGGATTGTGGGGAATATATTAGAGAAGGTATGTAGATGAAATGGTGGGTGGGCACTTTCCAAGACGGTTTAGACTTGGCACTATTTGTGATAGAGGCAAAAGATTCAGCAAAATGAGAGAGATGGCTGATACAAACATGGAAGAAATAATTCTACATGGCCCTCAAATGTGTTTCAAATTTCTTTAAAAACTCCATTTCCAGCTCCTTTGCTGTGAGGCAAGGTCATATGAGTAGTTCAGGTGAATAAATTGTGAGCAAAAGTTCAACGTATTACTTGTGAGCTGAGGCACTGAAAAGCCCCTGTGTTATTTTTTAGTGTCTCACTTCCCCTGCCATGGGAGCTAATGGGGCCTCATGTTGATGTGGGGAACCACATGATCATAGCTACCTAAATTCATTAGTCACCATGTCAAAGACAATTGCACTGGAGAGTTGCCTATATCCGCGATAGTTTTGGTGGAAGGGATAAATGAAAACATTTTTTTTTTATTAAGCCACTTGATTTAGGGATTTTTGTTATTGCAGTATAAGCATAGATGATTCTGACCAAAACACAAATCTGAAAGTCAATACTTAATGGGCATACAATTTAAAAGAGACAAAAGAAGGTAGATTCAAGATCGTAAGTTAGGGGGTCTGGAGAGAAATGGGACTACTTCTTCTCACAAATGTTGAAAAGCTTAGGGAGGAACAAAAACACAGAAGAATTTGGAGGCAGAAAGCGGGAAGTTAAAGGAGTTTATTCATGATGGACACAACATTCTTGGGATATTAGAAATTAAATCATCTGCTGAGAAGGTGAGTAGCAAGATTGAGGGAAATACAATTATTGAGCAGTTGAGGGGACTGTTACTATACAGAATGGGAAAGACAGCCAGGTAGATAGAAGAAAAAAAACCACAGAGCAGTGGTAGACAGCTGTCCAGCTGGGTCATACATTTATAGTGGAGTCAGTCAACACTAGTTTATCATTTTCTATAGCTGTGCTTGCCATCCCAAAAGAAGGAACAGAAATATCAAATAGTAGGGCTTGGAAAATAAGTTATAGTACAAAGAAGGTATCTCTAAACAATTAAGAAGGCTTGGGAAAGTATAGTAATTTACCGTAGTGTTGAATCCAAATAGGAAGAAAGTGAAGTCAAGAGAGTATGATAGACCAAAAGACTATAAGAATCCATATGTTTTAATGTAGTTAAGGAAAAAGTTTAGCAGGACTATTGGTGTAGAAATAGTTAAAGACAGGAGGTTATGCTTACAGAGACAGTAGTATAAGGTAGTAGCGGTTAAGAGTAGTTTGCCTGGGTTTCAATAACAACTCTGCCCTTTACTACCTCGATGGCCCTAGGCAAGTTAGTCACATTTTTTTGTGTCTCAGTCTGCTCCTAGGACATTTTAAGCTACACTGAAGGATTTTTGTGAGGACCGAATGAGTTAATATACCTAAAGCTTTTAGAATTGTTCTTGGCAAAAAGTGTTTTGTAAATGTAAGCTGTTATAATGATAGTTTTTATGTAGCTATGGACGTGGGTGTTGAGGAATAAGGAGATGAGCATTGTAGTTGGACAAAATATTAAGGAATTGCAAAATGGGGATTTGGTGAATCATCAATGTGGATGTTGTGTGTTTTCCAGATGCTGAGGATAAACAAAGAAAATAAGATTGTGAGATAACATGATGTCATAAGGCAATGACCATGAGGATGGGAGAGGAGAGTGGTATAGCCACGGCATTGTTCAAGCTTAGTCATTCAGTAGTGTGGGAAGGTTGTCCACTAAAACTTTTCACAGAGGCACAGCAGGTTTTGAGAATATGAACAGCATCTCCTTTCAAGAGTTTTCAGGAACTGGGGCACCTGGGTGGCTCTGTCAGTTGAGTGTCTGACTTTGGCTCAGGTCGTGATGTCGCAATTTGTAAGTTCAAGCCTGGTATGGGGCTTGCTGCTGTCAGCCTGTCAGAGCAGATCCCACTTTAGATCCTCTGTCTCCACCCCTGCCCCTTCCCCGCTCATGCTCTTTCTCTCTCTCTCTCTCAAAATATAAATAAAACATTAAAATAAAGTTTCCAGGAGGTTTTATTTTATATGAATGAGGAGTCCCAAAGCCACCTTGGACAAGATTTGTTTTTAATTCTTTTTAAGTTTATTTATTTATTTTGAGGGCGGGGGAGGGCAGAGAGAGAGAGACTCCCAGACAGGCTCGGAGCAGCCAGTGCAGAGCCTGATATGGGGCTGGGGCTTGAACTCACAGACCGTGAGATCATGACCTGAGCTGAAATCAAGAGTTGGGTACTCGACCAACTGAGCCACGCAGGCACCCTGAAATTATTTTTTTAAGTTTATTTATTTATTTTTGAGAGAGAGAGGGGGCACATGCAGGAGCAGGGGAGGGGCAGAGAGAGGGAGAGACAGAATCCTAAGCAGGCTTTGCACTGTCTGCTGTCAGCACAGAGCTCAACATGTGGTTCAAACTCATGAACCGTGAGATTATGACCTGAGCTGAGATCAAGAGTTGAATCCTTAACCAACTGAGCCACCCAGGTACCTGCCCCTAAATACAAAATTATTAATAAAAATGTTAGCAAATAAAGTCTAGTATGTGTCAGTAGTGACCGAGTATAATTCATTGCCAAGATGCAAAGATGGTTTCATGGCAGGAATTTTTTGAATAACATCATTTATTACATCATTATTTTAATGTATTAAAATGATCTTAAAAGATGCTAAAAAGGCATTTGGTTAAATCCACCAGCCATTTCTATTAACACTGCAATCAAAATACAATTAAAAAGAAACTACCTAAACATGATAAATACTACTTATACAAAACCAAGAGCAAATATCATACTAGACATTCACCCAGTGACTCTATTTTAAAACTACTATAAGGGAATTTGGCAGCGTGCTTATATATGCCATACTTATCTTAGAAGCAATTGTATGGCTCTATACTAGAAATAATCAGTATTAGAAATGTAAGAAATAATCCACAGAAAATAATACAAAAACTTTAAATATTTTGAAATTAATAAGAAAAGTTCACGGCCTATAGGAAGAGAACCAGAAAAATCTTACTGAAGAGCTACATCAACAGCTGAACACATGGAAACATATACCTCATGCTTGCCAGGGAGGATGTCATTTCACAAATTTTCACTTCTGCCCACATTGTTATATACGTTTAATGAATTGTAACTTATGTCTCTGTGTTTTTAAAAAATTGAAATATCTTACATTTTATGTGGAAGAATAAGTGTCCAAGGGAAGCTAAGGAATGTATGAATATGAAAAATAGTGATGAGATTTCTTCCCAAATATTAAAATATTATAAAGTTAGCATACTCAAAATAGTTAGGTATCAGCATACGGATAGATCGAACAGACTAATAGATTAGTAGACCAAATCAAAAATTGCAGAATACATAGGAGCTGAATATAGGATAATGGTAGTATTGCACTTCAAAAGGGAGAGAGAGAATGGTTAGTAAATCAGTTCATTTTAATTTCATAGTAGAAATTGCATCATTAGCTATTTGTTTGAAAAAATTAATATTGGACCCTTCTCATATGGTATATAAAAGCATTCCATTAGTCTTAAAAGCCAAAAAATAAAATAATAAAATGTTTAAAAGATAAAGTTTAGGAGATCACATGTATAAGCTATATGTTGGGGATATTGTGAAAAGCAGAATCTTTTTGCTATTAGTAAGTACTTACTATTATGAAGTTAGTAACCAGATTATTAAGAAAATGCATGACTGACTGTATACAAATATTAAGCTTTTTCTTAGGGCAAAAAATACCTGTGTTAGTTAAGATGCATTTGGCTTGAGATATCAAGAAATCCAAGTCATACAGGCTTTAATAAGAAGAGAATTTATGGACTCACATGCCATGAAGTCCAGAGGCAGGGTAGCCATTAAGAATGGCTTAACTCAGTGTCTTTATCCAAATCATTTTTCTGTGATTCTCTCATCCTCACCCAGTTTTTTTTTTTAAGTTGGCTTCCTCTTGGGATGCCTGGTGGCTCAGTCAGTTGGACATCTGACTTTGGCTCTGGTCATGATCTTGCAGTTTATGAGATCAAGAGCCGTGTTGGGCTCTGAGCTGAGAGCTGGGAGCCTGGAGCCTGCTTTGGATTCTGTTATTCCCTCTCTCTGCCCTTTCTCTGTGTGCATTCTCTCTCTCTCTCACAAGAATAAATAAACATTGAATTGGCTTCCTCCTGAAGCCGGTATCAAGAAAGCTATAGCAGTATTTCTAGAGGTGACATCTATACTTGACAATGGCCAGGATAAAAAGAGCCGTTTTTCCCCATGACCTATTCTTAAGAGTGAGGAAAAAAACCTTTCAACAAGTTTCTTCTCACATCTCATTGGCCTCAACTGACTGCATTTCTGAATCCCTGTGGCTAGGGAAATGAACTGATGGACTTGGGATTAAATGTGTATGCAGAAAGGATTGTTACAAAACTTGTTTTTCTCAGTGCAGGGGGTTTTGTGTAATTTTTTACTTTCTTCCCTAATATCAGATTAATTTTTAGAAGTTCACAAGGATTGTTACTTAATGAAAGGTGATAAAGCTATTTTTTTGTTGAAAAAAGTTATTTCATAACAGATTGCTGAGGATTTATATGGATTTATATATTTTTTCTCTTTATCATTTCATTTCTATTTTTGTTCTGGCAGGGTCTTTTTTAAATGTAATCCCCTTTTAAAAATGACCCCCCAAATATTATGTATGTACCAGGAAAGGTTTTCCTCCAACAATTTGCAATGAATGTAATTATGCTTTGTTAAACATTAGCAATACAATTAACATTTACTTCGCATCAAGCCTCTCTGCTAGTTGGAACAATGGTATGGTTGGCAGGCTTGAATTATATTTGTACCTCAACAATTATACTCATACTATGTCCCTGAAACCATGATAAGTTATGCCACTCGCATCTGAGAGAGGAAACACACCAGTTCCTTTTGATCTGATCTGTCCAAAAGTGACTATGAGCAAATTCTGGCGGAAGTCTGAGCCTCGAGGCAGCGGGGGCAGGGGCGAGGGATAGGGTGACCCCACATTCACTGCACCAGTTGTCCTTACTGGAGCCTTCATTCCCCAGGAAATGGCACCCGTACTACCACACACAGTGGGCTATTTTCAGCTCTGTGGAAACTGGAGAACTTGAACACTCACCAACAAGGAAGTTGAAGAGAGGGAAGGCTTAAGAGAGAAAGACGAGATGCTTTATCTTTTCCTCCTGCGATTTTATTTGGCAGCTAGTCATCCAGTTAGCAAGGTCTCGAAGATAACAAACAGATAAAACGCTGAGTAGCGAGAGATGGTAGAATGAGGCGAAGACAGCTGGCAGAGGGAAGAAGTGTGGGGCATTGTCGTGTGTGGGGGGGAGAAGTGGCTATGGAATTGAGTTACTTACCCCTAGAGGGAGAGGTAAGGGCAGAGGTTGTTTCTGGAGAAGTCGGTCAAGACCTGAAGGGAAAATCTCTGAGTGTTGGAAAAGTGGCTTAAAAAAAAATCAGATATGACTTATGGTAACAACTATGTTAATTTAAGCAAATTATTGAAATCTTTCTGAGCCTCAGGTTTTTATTTATAAAATGTAGGCTTTAAATACGTACCTCATAGTGTTATGAGGCTTAAATGGGGCAAATATATGTAAAACACTCAGCGTGATGCCTAGAACATAGGAAGCACTTATAAAGAGTGGTTATTATTATTACTTTGTTTTAATTTCTGTGTTCTGAATAGAATTGCTCTAGTGTTCATAAAGAGGCAAAAATAATAATAAACTATTTGGCAAGGGGGACATTCTAGCTCCTGTTCCTCATACACACACAGGGAAACAAATTAGAGGTGTCTTCTTGGTAGCTTAATCCATTCATAACGAGGCAATCAATACTCAGGAGAGTTAGTCTACTGCATTACTCCGACACTGTCCACCTCTGTTTTGTAGTTGCTCGGCAAAGAGAGAAAACCTTCTGGGTTCTCATGAACGTGGTTAAGTGTAGTATAAGTGTGAGGGCAAACCAAGGCAAATCAATGTATACCCTTAGACACTCGTTGCTAACTAAATGTAATAGTTCCCGTGGGTAAAATTAAACAAAAGATACATAAATGCACCAATATTAAGACAATCAAAGAATGATAAAAAGCAATGTAGTGCACAGGGCCTCAAGTTTATATTTAGCAAAGATTATTAATCAAACTTCAAGAAAACATAAATTAACATTAGAAACATATTTATGTGTTCTAAGCAAAAATAAAACAATGCACAGAAAGTATTTTTACACTGGCCAAGACTTGACACTATATGACTTCTAAGATCTTCCGACTCTCAGGAAAAAGTAATATTATTATTCCTTTGCATGAAAAACACAATGAATGTTGTCTTTTTAATCTTACCTTCTCTTCAACTTGATTTTCTTCAGTTTTCCAGTGAGAAGCAATTAACGCTAAAAGTCTTGGCAAATGGTATTTTGTAATCTGCTTAACAAACATCAGCTCTACTCTTCAAGATGACGAGTTATTTTGGCTTTTAGAGAAGTTTGAAATTTTATAATTCATATTTAAAAAATTACCAGCAACTTTCATTTACATTTCTTTCTTATTCTTAATTCTACAAGTTCTCTCTCCCTCTCTCTCTCTTCACACACACACAAACACATACACACACGCATATAAAATCCTTTCCAATGCAATCAAGAAAGAGATAAAGGTGCAGAATTTTTGTCTCTCCTGTCTTTTCTCTCTCCTTGCGACAATAGCCCTATTGACTGTATCTGAAATAAAGTT